TAGAAACATAAGAGTAACAAGTAAAAGAGGAAGAACAAGAAATTGTGCAAACTTATGTCAGAAAGCAAGATTTGTCTGAAATATTGACTTAGATTACAAATATCTTAGATGAGTCATATCTTAATGAGATATTGGAAAAGCTCAGGTAAGACAAAATAACAGATTCCCTAGAATATCTATCTAGTAAGAGCAATAAACAATAATCTAAGTTGAAGTATATTCATGATCTTATCAAAAATATAAGTGAACTTGACTTTAATAAACAGAATTACTCAAAAGAGGAATGTGAATAAATTAGAAAGGAGTTAATTAAAAGATTGGTTAATATGGAGGGAGATCTATGAATTTTTGAAATTCTTAGTCCATTTGAGAGCCATTGATGAGAGATTATATAATGTGGATCGAATTGCTTTAATTTATTGATCGAAATGAAGGTGGATTTGAGAGAATAAAGCTTTGAGAATATAAGGATTAAAGATACTTCATTAGTAGGTGGAAATTTTGTAAGGTGTAATTTCAATGGATCAGAATTTGATAATGTGGATATAAGTGGAATGAACTTGAATTAAGCTTAACTATTCAATCGTAAATGGAAGAATATAAAAATACATGAGTTAAATAAATTAGATGGTCATTCAGATTATGTAAGATCAGACAATTTCTCTCCTGATGGTACTACATTAGCATCTGGTAGTCAAGACTATTCTATCCGTTTATGGGATGTTAAGACAGGATAATAAAAAGCCAAATTAGATGGTCATTCAAGGGAATTCTATCAGTCAATTTCTCTCCTGATGCTACTACATTAGCTTCTGGTAGTTCAGATAACTCTATCCGTATATGGGATGTAAAAACATTAAAGGAGATACTACAAATCAGATAGTAGCTACAAAGATCTACTTACCCAGTTTAAATTACCACTTCAGAATAGCTCCTTATTGCCAAATTGTATTTATTATTAATCATTATTTAGTTAATCCTGATCGTACAATACTTAGAATATGTTAGAATCCTTTATTTGAAGCATCAGGAAAACTTATCTTATAAGGACAATTCAAAAATCATTTAAGGAAAGATTTAAACATTTGTTTTAATCCAAAGGAAGTTGTTTTTTAAAAGAATTCAAGCAAAAGTGAACTTGAAATATTCATTAATTACAACAAAATAATAATTTTAATCAATTTCATAGGGTTTTTGAGAACATGTTTTTTTTGTTTCAATTCGTGATCTTCATTTCAAAGATTGATAATTATATGTTTTACATAAGTATTGCACTTCAAGCAAATGTATACACCATTTTATTTTAATATTATTAAAATATATGGCCAGCGTATTGTGTAATTGTTGTGCTGATTTTATTAACACAAGCTCTAATGTTGAACTACTTGGGGAAAAGCATAAGACTATGCATGTGAATTATTTATATTAGATATTGTTCTCCCTCTCTTAACGTTCAATAAACAAATAGAACCCTTATCACAAAAGGCTAAATAATGACCATCAGGAGAAAGCTATTTGATGATACTTTATTACTTTGATTATCCAAGTGTTGCAATCCATCTACCCTCAGATTTTATCATTTAGAATTTGAATAATTTTGCAAAAGTTAAATTTATTCCACTTATATCCATACTTTCATCAAAGACATTCAATTGAACCAAAAATTTTAATAATTCTATGATCATTATATTGTTTGATCTGTATCTCACTTTTTTGTATTCTTCTTCAGAGTAATTTTCTTTATTAAAATCAGATCTTTGTAGTTGGTTGAGAATATCTGTTATTCTCTCAATGTAAATCTTTCCAACTTTTGAGTTTCTTTACCTTACCTTTGTTATTTTTTCCATTTAAATATTTTAACAGATCATTTACCTTTTGTTTAATTAATAATGAATATCTATTACCTAATTTTAAGTTTTATTCTTTAAGTCGGAGGTGTCTTGCATATATTTTAGTGACAGCATGATTATATAAGACTTGGAGTTAAATGTAAATTATTATATGGCCACAGAGACTTTAGCATTGGTTAATTCTTTATAAATACAGAATGAAAAATGTTAAATAAATTTTTAGGAAAACTCCTTTTTTTTTTCAGTAAAAACATCTATGATTCAACTTCAATATGATGAATTTCTTTCAACATTTTTTGATTTTGGTAAACTTTCTTTTTGTTTATATAATATATTATGATACAATTATCTAACAATTCCTTACCATTATTATATTCAATGTAATACTAAGAACAATTAGTATTATTATTCTAATATTGTTATTATTACCTTTTTTTCCAACGGAAAAAGGGGGGTTTTCTTTTTTATCACCATTTATTATTCTCTTTCATATGCTTCTTGGTTTCCTTTTTTTT